AGATCAGTTCACACCTGACAGCACTGCTTTTCGCTGAGATAGGACACATGATTAAGTGAGAAGTCTGGAAAGCAGATACCGGTGAATGGGTAGGTAGCCATTGAGGAAAGCAGGAAGGGAGGCTAGCTGGTGACATGGAGCAGAATCATCAAGATGGACCAAAGACCAAGCAAATTGGACACCATTGATGTATCAAGGCACCAACCACCTACCTGTGTGATCTTATTTCCAGTGGTCCTCAGGGGTCAGGTATAGCAATGGATGAGGCCAGGAGTCTCCATTACTGCAGCTTTGCCAGGGAGAAGTGACAGAATGCAAAGAGAGAAAGGAATTAAGAGTGCTCTGAAGGTAAAGTGAACACCACAAATGAGCAGGTGGGCAGTCTTGCAGGGCAACCCGTGAGCAGAGACTGTGCTCTTATAATGGAGTGATTAAAGAGGCACTGGCTGGGTAGTTAGAGCCGTCTCTGCTCGCTGGTCTGCGAGGCTTCAAGTGCTCTGGGGTCCAAGGTCTCGTGCCTCTCCAAGGGGATGGTCACTGTCTCTTCTGTGACTCGTCTTGGGGGCGCTCTCAGCTGTGTAGCTTGGTGGATCATATGTCACCCGATCCTTTTCTGAACCTAATTCCAGTTAGAAGTATTTTATTAGAAGGGCCTTCACCGGAAATTGAAATGAAATTAAAAAAAAAAATCTCAAGAGTTCACAGAAACAGAATTCATGTTTGAAGCCTGAGAGAGTCAGTCCCCCCACAGTATTTGGTTATTAGAACTTCCCTGGAAGTCCTCTTGATTCCTGTGCTTTTTCTCTCCCTACACCCAACTGCTCGGACCACCAACTTGAGTTAGTTTTGGGGGCCCCCTGCACTGATATCCTGGACTTCCGCCTGACCACGAGCTCCCCAATGTCAGGTTATGATGTGCTTCATTCTGTAGCTGCCTTGACCATTTCAAGTTCTCCCTGCTCCCCTGGTCCCTTACGATGGGCCATTCCAACCCGATCTCCGAGACTCCTTTCTGGGTTACAGATCGGCCCGCGCCTGCTTTGTGGCAATCTCTTGTTCCGCCAGCTTGCCTTTTACTCCGGGGCTTCAGAATTCCTGCCTGCACCTTGATTAGTTCCCACTTTCTCTCTTTTGACCCGTTTGGGAGATGTTCCCATGTCTTTTCTCCAATCGGAACTGACAAGGTTTCTTCTTCTCCTCATCCAAGAGCAAGTTACTCCATCATAGTCCTCTGAAAGAGCTCAGATCCAAGCAACATGTAATTCTTTTCTTTTAATTTTATTTATTTGTTTGACAGATTACAAGTAGGCAGAAAGGCAGGCAGAGAGAGAGAGAGGAGGAAGCAGGCTCCCCGCTGAGCAGGGAGCCCGATGCGGGGCTCGATCCCAGGACCCTGGGACCATGACCCAAGCAAAAGGCAGAGGCTTTAACCCACTGAGCCACCCAGGCACCCCCAACATCTAATTCTTACCTACTCGCATGGCAGAGAGGTCTGACCAGCTAACCTAACCAGGCCGTCTCACCTTCTCCTTCAAAGGCCTAATGCTCCCATGTCTCCTGGGACTCCTGGTGTCTCTCAGGCTCTCAGATATTCAGGCATTTTAGAACATGGTAGTTACAGGGATGCCTGGGTGGCTCAGTGGGTTAAGCATCTGCCTTTGGCTCAGGCCATGATCTCAGTGTTCTGGGATCGAGTCCTGCATTGGGCTCTCTGCTGAGCAGGGAGTCTGCTTCTCCCTCTGCCTGCTGCTCCCCCTGCTTGTGCACTCATGCTCTCTCTTTCTCTCTGACAAATAAGTAAATAATCTAAAAATATATTTATTTAAAAAAAATAACAGTTACATGGTTAATATGTACTTCTGTCACTTTAAAAACAAACATAGTTGAAAACAGCATGAATGGAGAGACTTCTCTGGAGGGCATCTATATTGGTTAGATGCCTAATGTAGACAGGTGTCTGAAGTTTACCGATTCTGCGTGTGAATATCTTACCGTTTTCCTCGGCAGGTTTTAAGGACATTAGATGAAAGGAAGAAAAGTATGAAGACTCTGAATGAAAGGAGACAGGAGAGAAACAGAAACAAAGAGAGATCAAGGGGCTTCCCTTTCTGTCCCTTTCACGGAGAAGTAGCTTCTAGGGGTGGGACAAGTTTCTGACCCCTGTGTGTCAATAACCATGACAGGTTTGAGGAACGAATATAGTGATGCATTAGAATAAAAACCTGATATGGATTTAGTGACTTCTGTGTGCCAGGTGTTTTTGTACACATCCTGTGTATCTCCTTGTCTTAGTCCGTTCGGGCTGCTGGAACAGAATAGTGTAGAGTAAGCAGCTTATAAACAACCATAAATGTATTTCCCCTCTCTGGAGGCTGGATGTCCAAGATGGCAGCACGTTCAGATCTGGTGAGGGCTCACTTCCTCAGAGGTGGCCCTCTCTTACTGTAACTTCACAGGGCAGCCTGGGGACTCCCAGGCTGATTTTATAAGGGCACTAATTACATTCATGACCCACCCTGGCATGTTGTCATCACCTCCCAAGCATCCCACCTCCGCATGCCATCACCTTGGAGGTCAGAATTTCAACATACGAATTCGGGGGTGGGGGATGGTAAACATTCAATCTATAGCCTCCATTTAACTACTTTATTGAGTAAAGATTTTTATAAAGGAAACCCTAAAGGCTGGCCCTCCTGGTCCCTCAGACCCTGTTTTTCCCCCTGACTTCATGCTCTCGTCTTCACTTTACACCGGACACTCTCATTTGCTTTCATTGGATCTTCTGTGATTTCAGTTGGACAAAACTGTTCTGACATTTTATTAACAAAGATACTCTCCAATTTAAGGGAAGTTGTGGGACACTAAATCCCATTGGTGCCTGCTCGCCACCGTTGCACAATTCAGTATTGCAAAGCCATCATAATTCAAAGCACTGTTGGCTGGGTAATTCACTTCATTAACGGTGCTGCCTGAATAAAATACACAGCAAATTAGAAATAAACAAATCCTTGGAAGGTACGATAATATATTCAGAAAGCACAGAAGGTCAGGCCTGAAGACGGAGGAGGGAGAAGGAGAAAGGAGATGGGGGGGTGGGGGGACCAGTCGGATCAGGATAAAGAGGGATTTTTGTGAGTCTGTAGGTGCTCTGTGGACAGTGTTTTTAGGAAGCCTTGCTGAGAAATACCGGATAACTAATTACGAAGCTGTCTTGTATATATCTTTACCTTCATACCTCTTGCTCCCCTCACTTCCTGGATCCAATTTATTATGAAATCCTGTCAGTCTTATCTGCAGAACAAATCTCACTGTCTGTCAGCTTCTGACTCTACTCCGCAGTCGGGGTGGGCCTGTGCCTACTTCTGGCCAGGCTGACCCATGCAGATAATGGGGGTCATGCTTTCCAGAGCTTTCTTCTCCTACCGCACAGGTACAGAAGCAGGTTGTTGGAATGAAGGTGCCACAAGACCTTCTGTCCAAGCTGTCTGGATCCCTAAATTTCAGGGAGAGCAACTTCCCAGGAAAGCCAGCCAGCTGTGCAGCGGGCGTCTCCCAAGCAGGGCACAGACCCTGTTCCATAAGGCACCTGCTGGCTGGGTGTTGTCACATCGTGTTCCATTGTCACCCAGCTAGGAAGACGAATTGCCTTCTTCTCTCTCCTAACCAGCCCACCTTTTCAGCAGCCCTGCCTCCCCTCGACTGTTTTCTCAGCAAAGGGAAGCTCTGAAAATGTACACAAGGGTTGCATGACTGTCCTGCTTCCCCTTGTTACTAGGATGGATTCTCCACGTGCTTTAGCAGTCCTGTGTGCTTGCTTCCTTCTTCTTTCAGTTCCTCAGATGCTCTGGGCTGCCACTCCATTCTGGGGCCTTTGCACCTGCTTTGTCCTCTGCCTGGACCCCCCCCCCAACGTCCCATAGTTCACCTGGCTCCCTTAGATTATCCTTGCAGTCTCCAACCTGCACAGCACTGTCTCAGAGGCTCCCTGAGGATGCAGAGGTCTCCCCGTTACACACTCCAGCATGGCATCCCCTGCTGTTTTAATGATCCCCGTCACAGTTCATCATTCTGTATTCATTTGTGCAGCTTTTTGTTTGAGGACCAGGTTTCTCCACAACCAGACCGCATGCCCCCTCAGGGAAAGGGCCCCTGCCTGTTTTATCTACCAAAATAGCCTGTGCCTGGCCTCCAGCCCCTACCAGGTTCTCAGCAAATACCTTCAGGATGATTAAATAAATGCATTTAACGCTAGGTCAGATTTCCATGCATATTTTGGGAGTCTAAGCAAAGTGTGATTGGATACTGCTTCAAGGATTTATGGTCTCAGCCAAGGTACCAAATGCTTTACATTGTTTCCTCTATCATGTCTCCATCACGACAACAGTAGTATAAGGTCAGACTTGAGGCGTAGAAGCTGATCTGGCGCGAGATGAAGCCCACGTGTGTCTCGGAGTCTCAGGAGGCTGCCCGACCCCATGATCCATTTCCTTAACTTGCTTCTTCATTTGGCTTCTTTCCATCTCCAGTTTTCCAAGTTCATGAAACAAAAGGAACAAGCTCTCATATCATGGGTGTCATAGTAATCACGGGCCAGATCGACCATGCTTTCTTTTTGGAGAGAATACTGATCTCTTGTGTGTGCATGCTTCCTGCCAGACAGTGTCTCTTTGACGTGACAGGTGATGCATGGAATGATTACAACTGTTCAGTGATGTGTTCATTGGAAATACTAACAAGATATGAAAACCTGAAAATACAAAGTCTTCCATCGGGAGTTCTTTCCTGTTTTGACTTTATAGTGCAAACTTTTTTTTTTTTTTCCTAATTTAGAACTGTCAGAGGTGAAAATATCAATTTCCTTTTCCACGGAGAAATCCAATAATGGGATGAAAATCAGACTTCATTTGGGCACACTGGATCAATTATATCTGGATGTTGTTAATGTTATCTTATGGCTCTCATTTTAAATCAATCTTTTTAAAATCTCTTTCATGGAACAGCACATATCTGAGTGAGAAGTCCCTCCAGTTGACAGAAACATGCAAAAGACTACAAGACGGCTTTCAGACTTTATCTAGCAAACTAAAAAGGTAAGCTCTACTTTTTACATTTAATCGAATTTTTAAAAGAAGTGTTTTGCATTCAAAAATGTTTTACTTTGAAACCTTTTGGAAAATGAGACTGTGTTCATGCTCCGGCTTCCCCTGGGGCTCTGAGAAACTCTCTCTGGTGAGCAAGTGGATGGGCGGTGGACAGAGCAGGCCAGGGTGAGACGCTGGTGGTGGGGACTCAATTTAGCTATCCCTGGATCCCCATTCACTGAAAACTCTGTGTAGTTTTACTGGCTAGACTTTATAGGCCTGCAGTCTTTTTTGAGGAGCCTGGAAGCATTCTGGATGCTATCCTAGAAAAAAGTACACTTGTCCTGAATCGCTTATAATTCCAGAAGGTTAGCAGTTTTACCCCTAGTCCTAGTGGTGGTTTACCTTCCACTCCCTAACCAACCCCACACCTGCTTCCAATCCTGTATTTTAGAGAGATCCCTGTACCATCTTCTTCCTACTGGGAAGGGAGATCTTAAAGCTCCAAGCTTCACACATAGGAGAGCCCCTGGTGGCCTAAGAGTCTGATGGCTGGGGTGTACTGCCTCGGCAGGCAGTGCCAGACGAAGGGTGTACGTGTGGGGCAGGGGGCCTGTGCTTATACCCGTCACCTTCCTCAAAGGAACCAAGCTGAGTTGCATTTAGTATTAATCATACTCAGATCCTGGAACCCAGGATCTTCGAGGCAGAGCTCCCCAGAGAGGAGCACATAGATTATCTGACTTTGGGGGCTTAAAAGGGAAACATTTTATATTATAGTATATAGTATAGTATAGTATAAATATTCCTGTGGTGTAAAGAGCCCCACAGCTCTCGCTTGGAAACCTCAGCTGCTATTCTGGGCCAGACAGTCATGTCCAGGGCAGGAACATAGTACCAGAGTGACCACCGCTGCCATCCCAGGGCATCACTTCTTGGTCTGAGCCTCTTGACTGCCTGGATCCTTGAAATTATTAGGGAAGCCTGAGACTGAATACAATCTCTGATTTACGTTCATCTGGTTTGACCATCCAGTCCTATGTGTTAGCTCAGTTTATTACAAAAGGAGAGCCCCAATAAAACTTCAGTTTTCTTTTCCCTAAATTCCAACTGATGGACCCTTATGCTTCCTGGAGAAGTCTACTGTGCTGTGTGCCTTCCGTCCGCCACACCTGACCACCTTCTCTCTCTTCACTACAGTTTGGCCTGTGCATTTCTTTGCCCTGGAATGTTGACCCACAAGGACTTCATCAGCACACCTCTTGCTCCTTGTCATCTAGTTTTCTTTGGATTCGAGTCAGAGGGGAACACCAGAAGGAGAACAGAAAGAGGAAAGGATCTTTCTTTGTGGTGGTGCTGTAGGTGAACCACCTGCTTGACCAAAGGAAAGGGCTCTATCTCGAATGAAGGTCACAACTTTTGCTAGGTGTCTCTTTCTCTCCCTCCCTCGGCTTTCATTCTCTCCCTGGACCCTTCATGTCAGGAATAAGCCATTAACAGTCCCCTGACATTGTGCTTGGATTTCCCTACATCCAGCCCAGGCCTTTTGGAAAAGTCCCTTTCAGAAGCTGTTCTTAAAAGACTATAGTCGAGTGGGCTATCGTCCTTGCCAGGACCCTCACTTACCATAGATTGGCTAGAAGAAACTGTTGCAAATGCATCTCTCTCTGCACGATAAATTCATTCAATTTTGGGATGGACCTAAAGTAGCTCACGCATTACGTTTGGTGCAACACATCTATTTTTATCATGGTGTAGCTGTTGTTTTGTTTGTTGGGTTTAGGGGCTACAGGTCTTTCTCTGAAACTTTCCCCGGGAATCTCGAATCCCACACCTCCCGCAGGCTCCCAGCATCAGACATGGCACAATGACACATGGAAAGTAAGAATTTGGAAAAAATCAGTCCTTGTTCCACCATACCCTGTGACAGGCTGGTGGGACTCCTTGCCTGATGTGTGACTCCGCACGTGAAAGTTGCCTTTGACTTTCATCAGCATTCTCTCTGACATGAGCTGGTTTTGCTCCCTGAAGTGACAAAAGTCCTCAACGTAAGGATGACCCATAGCTATACGTTGGAGCAAACCACTTGAGTCAGCACGGGAGAAAATTCTTTAATCGTGGAAGGTTGTGGTTTTTTTTCTTCCAAGGACAGAATTTAACAACTTTATTAAGTGCATCAACAAAAACAGTCAGTGGCCGTGTGCTAATGAGAATGTCTGTGCCTGTGCCCTCATGTTTGCTCTTGCACTTTTTTCTATTGTTTTGGATCTGGTGCTGAGACCTCTTCTTGGTTGTTCTTCAGGGGGATGCATTTCTATTATGCACACAATTTTCAGCTAGCTCACATAATTAGCCTGCACTGGTATTCTGTTTGGCAAAGGTCTAGAGAGAGCAAGCATGAATTGCCCATTGTTATGAAAGTGTTATTTTGCACACAGGAGACTAATTTTTTCAGTTGTATCATTTGTTGTCAGGAATTGTGTGTTCTGCGACTTCAGTGCTATTATAGACTTACAGGGGACAATCGGGAGAGCTATTCAATATGGGGTGATAAAAAGTAATTTCATTTTCTCAGAAATAATTATTTAGCTCTGTTTTCGTCATGGTCTGGTAAAGTCTTAGAATTTTGTCTTTCTTTAGCCAATTTGTCCCTTTTGGTTTGCGAAAATAGAACCTGGGAAGACACAGTTATAGTGGGAGGGAAACTGCTCTTTTTCTCCATTGGTCTTTAGTACATCTTTGAATAAAAGAAAATTAAACAGCTGCTATTTGGAGGACAGCAGTTCTGGAATCACAGTTCTTTATTGTCTGAGACTCTGAGCTCCATGGACGCGGCCCTATCCCATTGCCTTGCTGCAGCCAGAAGTGTGGGTGGTTGCAGGACTGTCCTGCTCCCTGGCAGGGGCAGGTGAGCCTAAGTGATCACGGTATTCGCCTGCACCCAGCCAAAAGCCAGCGCGCACGCACAGGCAAGGCACTGTCCCACTATTCCTGAAACTCGGGGGCACACACTGTTAAAACTGTCCCGCTGCCTTTCTGAAGTCAGCGAGCATGCCCCACCCCCGACACTAGCTGTCCAGGGGGCATGCGCAGTCCATACAGGAACACCATCTGATTGCCTGGTCACGTTAGCTAAGGGGGCTGGAGTTCCTAAGCATCCCGGAAAGGTAACAATTCAAAGAACAGTTATGGTCCAACCACCGCGCCCAGGACACTTCGCAGACAACAGACTGAAACACAACCTGTCTTCCTCTGAAAAAGGCCTACTTACTTAGCCTGGAGCTTCGGCATGAGGGACAGGCTTTTGGTTTCCCAGCATCTGGAGGCTGACGTGGTGCTCCCTGGGAATGTAAGTGGGGAGACACTATTCTTGAGCACCACCTTGGCCTTGCTACAGATTAATGAGACCTGCCAAAGAAGAGGTTATATACTTATCTGGAGCCCTGATTTTTGTACTCTTGTCCAGAGTATACCTCTGGATCTCCTGGTCTGGAGGCCAGCAGGGATGATGATTGTGGCCCCTCAGGAGTGTATATATTTGCAAACTTTAGCAGCTGCTTCCTGAGGGCCCAGTTTCCAATCAGCCTGAAAGTAAGTCCTAAATGAGCTTCCTCCCCTTGGAACACTCACAGTTCTTGGCACACTCTTAAAAACGGGGACATATCAAGAATAAAGTGTGTGGTTTAGACAATCACAAATGCTCAAGAGACAGCCAAGAGCTAGAGGAAGGTGAAACAAGAATGTTCATCCCCTACACAGCACCACTTCCTCAAGATAGGTAGTTATTTCACCTAATACACAGAAACAGAGAGAGTGAAGCAAACTGAGGAAACAAAGAAGTATGTTCCTAATGAACGAATAAGACAAAACCTCAGAAAAAAACCTTAATAATATGCAGATATGTAATTTGCCTGATAAAGAATTCAAAGTCTTGGTCATAAAGTTGCTCACTGAACTTGGGATGAACACACTGATAAGTCCAACTAGGAGTCTTAAAATATGAGAAAGTACCAAACAGTAGTCATGGAGCTGAAAAATACAGTAATGTAGCTGAAAAATACAGTAACTGAACTGAAAAATACACCAGAGGGGTTTAATAATAGAGGGATGAAGCAGAAGAACAGATTAACAAGTTGGAAGACAAAGCAATGGAGTTAACCCAGACAGAGCAGCATAAAGAAATGAATAAAACTTAAGAGACCTATGGTACAAAATCCAATGAAATAGCATTTACATCATAGGGGTCCCAGAAGGAGAAGAGAGAGAGAAAGGGGCAGAAGACTTATTTGAAGAAATAGTGGCTGATAATTTTCCTAACCTGGTGAAGGAACAGACATCCAGGTTTAAGAACCCAGAAATTCCAAAATAAGATGAGTCCAAAGAGAGCCACACCAAGGCACATTATAATCAAAATGTCAAAACTTAAAGAGAAAAAATCTTAAAAGAAGCAGGAGAAAAGCAATTTCCCATTGTTACGTACAAGGGATATCCCATAAGGCTATCAACAGATTTCTGTTGATATCAGCAGAAATTTTGCCAGGCCAGAAGGAAGTGGCAGGACATATTCAAAGTGCTAAAAGGAAAAAAAAAATCTTTCAACCAAGAATAATCAACCTAACAAGGTTATTATTCAGAATCAAAGGAGAGATAGAGTTTTCTAGAACACAGAAGCTAAAGGCCTACTACTATTAAAGCAGCCTTGCAAGAAATTTTTAAGGGATTTTTTTAAGCTGAAAAGAAATGGCACTCATTAATAACAAGAGAACATGAAAGTAAAAATCTCACTGCAAAAATATATTTTTATTATATATTTAATAAATTTACAGTAAAGGTAGTGGGTTAATTACTTAAAAACAACTATAAAGGATAAAAGACAAACATAGTAAAAAATTGACCCAAACTATAATAATTAGTTAAGGGATACATAAAATAAAAATAAGTAAAATGTGACATCAAAAACATAAAACGTGGTGATGGGATAAAAATGTAGAGTTTTAGAATGTGTTCAA